ATGCCTGAGAAATAAAAGATAATAATTAGATTGCTACCACATCATCCTCTGTCATCATTTAAGAGGTTGCATATCAGTTCTTCATAAGGTAGGAACATTTTTTTGGCACTAAATCTCAGGAGAAAAGTATATTTAACATCACTTTTACTGAATACAAATATCCTTATTAAAAATGTTTCTTATATTTATTCCTGATTCAAAAATACAGTTTGATTTATAACTATTTAAACCCATATTTCTCACACTTACTTATGATACATTTTTTCTTCACTGACTGTGGAGTTAGTATGTTATAGAGTATACTCTGGAATGTGAGGACATTGATCATCATTGTCCCTGGCTGTCGTTTTCAAATATTGCTCAACTTATCTACTTGTGACAAGAGCTGAAGTAGTTGCCAATTCATAGTGAGCTTTGGATACATGACCAAGATGCTATTACTCTATATTGCTTGGAAAAAGACAAGCATATCTTATAGATACTGACTAAAAAATAAGAAACTTAGTTTGCATTTTCCTCAAGCCATATCTGTAGGCCAGTAGCAAATGGCTCAATTTAGAAAGATTACCAAATATTTTAAATCTTGAATGAATCTTAGATCTACTAAGTGCTTCAAGCTCCTCCTACAATCCTTGCCAGAAGTCCCTTCAGCTCCTAAGCTGGTCCAGCATCTGCCCCAAGGCACACATGTCAACCCCTCTGTGGCACTCACCTCAGTGTCAGACAGACTAGCAGGCCACTCGCTTTCATCTCAGTTGCCTCACCAATTACTTTTTGAAAAGCAAGTTGCTGAATGGTAGCCAAGCTTATAAAAACTGAAAACAGATTAAAGTGCTTGCCATTATTTTATTACTCTCATTATTTTATATTCAGTATATCATTTAATCTTTACAACAATCCAATGAAGTAGGTATTAATTTTCTAATCTGATAAATAAGAAAAATGGGTAAGTTTGTATTTATTTATTTATTTATATATTTTTTTTCAGTTGATCAGCAGCCTAGTCAGGATCTCTAGCCAGGATCTCCAGCCAAGTTCTGTGTTTTTTTTTTTTTAAATTAAATCTTTATTGTTCAGATTATTACAGTTGTTCCTCTTTTTTCCCCCCATAGCTCCCCTCCACCCGGTTCCCACCCCACCCTCCACCCCCCCCCAACTGTCCTCATCCATAGGTGCACGATTTTTGTTCAGTCTCTTCCTGCATCCCCCACACCCCTTTCCTCCCCAATAGTCAGTCCACTCCCTTTCTATGCCCCTGATTCTATTATAATCACCAGTTTATTCTGTTCATCAGATTATTTATTCACTTGATTTTTAGATTTACTTGTTGATAGATGTGTATTTGTTGTTCATAGTTTGTATCTTTACCTTTTTCTTCTTCTTCCTCTTCTTAAAGGATACCTTTCAGCATTTCATATAATACTGGTTTGGTGGTGATGAACTCCTTTAGCTTTTTCTTATCTGTGAAGCTCTTTATCTGACCTTCAATTCTGAATGATAGCTTTGCTGGATAAAGTAATCTTGGTTGTAGGTTCTTGCTATTCATCACTTTGAATATTTCTTGCCACTCCCTTCTGGCCTGCAAAGTTTCTGTTGAGAAATCAGCTGACAGTCGTATGGGTACTCCCTTATAGGTAACTGACTTTTTTTCTCTTGCTGCTTTTAAGATTCTCTCTTTGTCTTTTGCTCTTGGCATTTTAATTATGATGTGTCTTGGTGTGGTCCTCTTTGGATTCCTTTTGTTTGGGGTTCTCTGCACTTCTTGGACCTGTAAGTCCATTTCTTTCACCAGGTGGGGGAAGTTTTCTGCCATTATTTCTTCAAATAGGTTTTCAATATCTTGCTGTCTCTCATCTTCTGGCACCCCTATAATTCTGATGTTTGTACGCTTGAAGCTGTCCCAGAGGCTCCTTACACTATCTTCGTATTTTCGGATTCTTTTTTCATTTTGCTTTTCCGGTTGGGTGTTTTTTGCTTCTTCGCATTTCAAATCTTTGACTTGATTCTTGCGCTCCTCTGGTCTGCTATTGGGTGTAATATTCTTTATTTCAGAGCGTGTATGCTTAATTTCTAGTTTCTTTATCATAGCATCGAGGGTCTCATTAGTTTTCGTGAAGCTCTCCAAAAGTTTATTGCAAGCCCTCAAAATTGCGTTTTTTAGCTCTATATCCTCCATTTCTGTCATGTTTTTTTGTCTCCGCATTTTTTATGCTTTCTTGGTGCACCCCCTAGTGGTCTTTGTGCGCAGTCTTGTTCTAGTTGAGCCTTGATTGTTGTAGTTAATACTAGAGGGATTTGACCACCAGGCCGACTGGCTGTGTGAATCAGCTGTGTCTGCCGCGGAAAACTTCTGTCCTCTGGGTGTGCTTTTCTCTTTCCTTCTAGTTGTAGAGTTTCCACTCAGCCAGCCTTCCTGTGGTTCTGGATGATGTCCGTTTTGTCTTTTAGTTGTATTTTTGAATTTGTTGTGGGAGGCAGCAATTTCCGGTATTTACCTATGCCGCCATCTTGGTTTCTCCCAAGTTCTGTTTTTAAGTTTGTATTTAGTGCCACTTCTTGACTGACCAGTCACATTTGGAAAATACATTTTAGGCCTTTTATTCCCAAACTAAACTCCCACATGTACATCACACATCCTGAGGATGCTACACTCTGTCTTTCCTCATCGACACTCATTCAAAGAAATCATAGATAAGAAATGGCCAACCTAAATCTCAACAGGGAAAGGGTGTTATTCAGTCCTATGCTAGACCTATGACGAAATCAGAAACGGGCCTGGGAACATTATCTTTAGCAGTACAGTGAAATTTAGGAAATGTCTGGAAAACCACACTTCTGAGATCTTGGGTCCTATATCTAATTGCTGGCAAAGCTAGAGTAGAATCTAAGACTCTCAACTTGAAGTCCTAAGAAACTTCTTGCAATGCCACACAGATATGCTTTTAAAAAGGTGGAGGGAATCTGTTCATAAATGCATTACATCTGAACGCTGAGAACCTTTCAATTGTGTCTCTATCATTGATTTTCAATAGTACTCCTGTAACTATTAGTATTTTGATTAAGGGAGCTCATTAATCATTGAAAATCTGGGGGCTGGGTGAATGCATAAAATTTTCCCCCAATTGTCTGATTTTCCACAATCTACCATTAAGTTTTATAGATTAAAAAAATGATTCTATTCTGTTGAATTTAAAATTATTTCTGTTATGAAAACTGGCAGTGATAAACAACTCATCTACTTATATAAAAACCATGGGTGGTGTTCATCACATACAGAGGAACAGCCAGGACTGAGCGGAAGGAAGTAAGTTCTACAGGGGTTGTCTTGGCAATGGCTGTGCCCTCCCCCAAGCTGTTTCCAGGAGCTGTTTCCTATAAGGGTGGAGTTTGAGGCAGGAACCCGCCCTGGGAGCGTGGAGGCAGATCTTTCTAAAGTGTGCCGCGCCAAAAAGGGGTGAACCTGAGTGGGGTGGCTGAAAGGCTTAGAAAAGACAGACAAGAGAATGAAAGCTGGGTCTCCATGGGACACTGCTTCTCTGAGAAACATCGACCACGCCCACAGCCATGCCTTTATTTTATAGCAGATGCCACGAGGCAAAGTAAGGGTGTGACCAAGATGTTTACAACATTCTCCTGGGTTTCAATCCTACTCAACTACATGCACCTGAACTCTATCAAGCCTGCATCACTCAGGCACATGGGGCCACGTGTTCAGACCATAGGTTCAAACTTATAACTATAGCTGTTGGCTATAATTGTGCTGGGAGG